CCTTTAACGCATAAATAATTAGACGAGTCTTGGACATTTTAACACTGACATGTTTGATAGTTTGTCTCGTCATCGGCCTTAGTAATACTGTATCGAGATGTTAACTTCTGAGTGAATGGTAACTAGAAATGTAAGGAAACAGACGACTCGCGATAAACAAGTACTCGATAACATGAATTGTGATCTACGCTTCGTGACTTCGTTATGTTTCAACTCACCGTGCTCTGTGAATAAAACGCATCGATGATTTTTTTTTTCTTGCGGAAGCAGGATAAACCGGCTTGTCGTTCGGTATATCCTGGATGGGTGGGCAGGCGGAATCGGTCGTTCAACCAACAAAGAGGTCAATGCTACACTTGTCTTGTTCTTCGAACCGTGCAATTTCTTCATCTTTTGCCTCAGCCTTTAAAAAGAAAAGACGACGAGGCTATCAATAAATTGATAATGGTTCGACGTGAAATGAAACTCCAAAGGCTAAGTTGTGACGAACTTGATTTGTGTAAGTTTTCACTGGATATTTTTACCAAGAACCCGGAGACTTGGAATAAGACTTGTAAGTTATAGACATGCAACTAGTTCGTCGAGAGTCTAAAAATAAAACAACTAGTTCGTCGAGAGTCTAAACATAAAACATACATATTATCGTCAAATTAGATTTAAAGTTCTACCAGGAAAACACGTGAACATAGATTTTTATTTTCCCGGCTTATCACGGAGTTAACAGAAACGTCCAAGGTTAGTCTCTTTGCAGAATCCGCAAAAGTGATTTTTAAACAATCCACTTGAAGGGACAATCGAACAAAAACGAGAAGAAATTTAATACAGTAGACACAAAATGGTGTATACCTGTTGCAAAGAAAAGGATTTTTAAAAATATCTCCATAGAGAATCCACACAATGCTATGTTTATTGTAGTTCTTATACTTTGATGCCTTATAGGCATCTGGAAGAAGAGTCGTCTCTAATTGAATAAACCCACGTTAATACAGAGATATTTCATTATAATCCTATCGCTAAGCCTTGCTGGACGTAACGTACTGTTGTTTGGATTCATCTGTCACAGAATGAAGGGTCAGCATGACCTCTAGCGGTGACAGAGAAGCCAATTCTGTCGCCATAGGAGCTCAAACGGGAAATACCTTCTTCCTACCCTTGATTACTAGGATGTCGTCTTATAAATGGATATTTCCTTTCTCGTCGAGATCAACCAATAATTAGTCCTTTTTTTATTTCCTCACAAAGACTTAACCTCAGAAAATAAATGACCTTAGCTACGTTGAACCTTTCTTGCACAATAGCAGCAGCCGTAAAATTTGTGGCATTGTATCTCGTTTTACTAAATTCTAAATATTTAACCAGGCCCAAAAACATAAATACCTGATCATTACAATTAGACACATTTCGAGCTTTAGACAATCATAGTAAAATAGATTTTATTTACTTGAGAGGTTGAATACTTCATGATTGAAAGAGCTTCTATTTTCGCTGTAAGTCATATTTATTTTTGCCCATGTTTTGATCGGTATGAGCAAACTGACGTTACCAATATATCGCACTTCCTATTTTGTTTCGCTGACGCTATTTGGTTGAATAGGAGTTAGTTAGTTTTCATCACGTGGCACAGATGATGAAGTGGTTACATAAAATATATCCCTCCCAAACTAGAATGATTCTGTTTTCACAAAATAGAATCAAACCTATAAGGAAGGAGCACTGTAACGGAAAGAACGGTGTGGATTGCAAGCTGCATGGAACAGACATGACAGTCCGTCTCGCATTTCGGCAGGTGCACATTCATAACAACAGGTAGGCCTTAAAGAATACGAATGGAGACAGACGTTGGAAACCGCTAAGAGGAGTTATTTTTAGATTCGCTCGTTCGGGTATTCGACGGCGGTTGAATAACTGGGAGATTTGCTTACGGATGTGCCTCAACGAAAAGAAGAGACCGAGGTGTAACCGCGTCGGGAAACATCGTTCACCGCCCTTCTGCGCGGTCACTATTGCCTAAACAGGTTTTCCTATGGCTTCGTATATTTTTCAGCTGGCTGTGTTCAACGCCAACTTTACTTCAAACGTTTTTTATGTGAATGCAATGTGTATATTTAGGAAATTGATGTAAGGAAGAAAAAAAGCTTCAAAAATGTGTCTTTTCATTCTCAGACCTGACGTTTGTTCACCGTAGAAAATGAGTACAAAAGTAAACAATATTTTTAAACTAAAGGATTTTAAAGATTTTTCATCTTACTTTATATTTTTTTCTGTTCACACACTGAGCGATAAAATACCTCATCAAGATTTTTAAATATTAATGTCTAAAGTCGTTTTCCACAAAATGATCAGGGGGTACGCTTGTGTAGAAATCTCTTCATTCCTTCGAATACTTTGCCTTTTATAAATCTATAATTTTGTAACACGCTGCATGTACACTGTTATTTCGCCTGACACGGAACGTAACACCACTGATGCGCGTTTAATATTCACGTGGCATTTACTCTACACTTCTAAGATGAAGCATCGGCAGCCATGTGTGTAGTCTGTGACGTCAGTGGCGAAATGCTGTATGCCCATCAAATTCAAATTCGCAGAATTGGGGGAAATGTGACTGTAGATTAAAAAGTAATAATGCATGGGTGGGGTATACTGTCCGTGTATGTTTCAACCAACAGCGCTTTGTGATGCATGGACATTTCGAATCAACACGAGCAGAGTTCATCAGCCTGTTACAATGAGTGATTCGTCATGTACGTGTAGGTCACAGAAGTTTATTCTCGCGCGATCACGTCACTGTCTTGTGAAATCTCACGAGTGTCTGCTGACCACATTGGTGGATGCAAGTGCATTTCATCACTCCCAGGCAAACTTAAGGATCATTCTTACCAAAGTAATCAGCTAAACCTAAATTCTTACTGATTGTTTGTCACGACAACACAGCCCATGCAGCATTTTTATGTTTTTTTCAACCACTGCGGAAACGTCACCATGTTCCTTCTGTTTGCTCTTTGGTGCGCTGTATGGGGTCCTTGACATGGGACTGCAGCCTATTCACGACGTGGTTCACACCACCGGAATTTACAGGTTTCCTTCCGTGTTTTTGGTCACACAAAACCAAAGCTGAACGCGTGTCGAGTTCTATACTGCCTTGACTAACTCATTTTGCACTCAACGATTGAGGATCGGCGACTCGCGAAAGGTAAATGCCTCCTTTCTCGCATTGGATTTTTTTCTTTTTTTTCCATGGAAAATGAATGATAAAAAAGGTTTTATCTACTGAAGTATTCAGAAGAGACGAGCAGCACGCCGACATTTTAATCCAGTGCTCTAATATGTCTCGGTTTCTGTTTCGCACTTTTACAACAAAGAGAACGAGTCTTCATAAAAGATTGCCACCTCTGTCACATCCAAAACAATACTGCGTGTACCTGCACGTCTTTTACATCATTACTAAAGAAGACATCGGCAGGTAGGTCAGTGTCCAAATCGACCTCGATGGTCATGATTAAATCTTCAAGAAAAGCCGCTCTCTCGATGTTTGCTCTTGCGGCACATCTGGAAAATTGTAGATGCACATTTGCATAGTTTATTTGGAAGCGTAATCACGAGACTGTTTAAGATACGCCGACCTTATAGACAAATTTTAATTAATTTCACAGCTCTAATTTAGAGTGCTGCACTGGGGTGTTTCATACCATCATTCATTCAGTATAAATAACGTTCCCGCGTGTTCTCACAAACCCTGATAGCAGGCTGTGAATTACAAACACAAAATCAAACCTTTGCAGATGAATATGGCAGAATTGCTATAAGCACAGGCGAATTATTTTCTAAAAGAGAGAATACCATCTTTATATCATAACACGCATGTACTTTTATTTCATCGATCATCGTAAGGTAAAAAGAGCTAGAAAGCATGACCTTAATAAGGAAGGGCCAACGGTAAAAAAAAAAAGGCTTCTTTGATTGGAGGATTTATTAGGGTGAATGATACAGCACACCGGTTGAAGCTGTTTATAATACAATATAATCAAGGTTTAACAAGGTAAGTAGTGGCTTCCTATTCCATGTCTGGCATTGATAATCCACGGAGCAGAATCCCTGCTTTCGCACTGGACTTAGAGAGACCACGCCCTTATAGTGACTTCTCTGCTCCACATCCTATGTTGCCTGCAACTGTCAAGCTAAATTGTTGGCCGTGTCCGAATTATTTGGCTGTGGATTGAAATACATACCACTAAATTACGAGAGGTGGCTGAAGTCACTCTGATAGATTGGTATGTAATATCAAGCCGCAGCCAGGTAATTTGGACACGGCTTTTAAAAGCCTCGATCACTCTGTCCATTGTGATTGATGCAAGATGCTTCGACTTCAACTTGCTTCATTCATAATACGTTACATCTGTATTTGTATCGTGATTTCGGAATTTACTAGTTTTACCATACAGAGCACGCCATTTATAGCTGCTGCAAAATTAAACACAAGGACAGCAAAAAACTGCATCACTGATTGACAGTGTTCAATATGTTTGAAATATATCTGAAGTTGGACAGAACTGTATAGCAAAACTTGAATATATTTTATTCCGAGTCTGCAGTGGCCTGTTTTACTACTACGAGTTTAGGAATCGTGTCCACGCACTCCAAATAAATTGATGTGCAATCGTCGGTTAAAAACAGGACCATTTATCAGTGATAAACGGCTTTTAAACGAGAACACAATGTGGAAAAACCATTATTGGCTGTCACATCTTCCTCCTTGAAATCGAGAAAGAAACGACCTAGTTCCCAATAGGATGACTGAACGGAAATCGCATTTCACTGCAATCAGACAAATCATGATTTACCGAGTGTTCCTAGGTTCTTCAAACTGCAAAGTGTAAGGGTCGGAATGGCGATAGAAGTATCCGAATCCTTTCATCATTGTATGTGGATCTTTATTTAACTGAGCAGATGAAGTAAAGCTGGGCAGGCATTGGTGATCCTTTCCTGTGATTATTCGGCAGGCCAAAGGGAGAATATCGCCTGTACTGGCAGTAGACATGGACAAGATGACGAGATACAGACAATGGATGTGGGTAGGGATAACGCTAAGTTTACTATCAACGATGTGCACTATGCAAGGTGAGATCGCAGTATTTGGTTGCGTTTCTGTTTTCCACTCAGGTTAATAAAACCGGGTCGGTGTGTGTCAGAGTGTGGATTTGAAACAAAATGTTGTACTGTGAAGAGTTTATCTGTAACTTGACTCCTTATTTCGAGGAGTATGACAGGACATGTGCGAGAGTATAATCTTACCGATTTTGCATTGCCACTGCAAAGGGCATGTCAAGGAATACGTAATGTTTGAATTTGAAGGGTATAGAATCTTGCATTCGTCCGATATATTTTTGAGTTCATTAAGGACTTACCCCGAAGATCAAATTACATTTTACATACACTTCATTTCCTGTTTTCCTCTCGAAAGCCATAAAATTGTTCCTTATTCTAGACAAGCTTAAAGCTTTCACTATGTGTCAACGTGCTTTAAAAACACGGAAAACCAATTTCAATTTATCCAGTGTAGTTCCTATTTGGTTTATGTCCAAAAATGTTTCGACTGTATTTCTGACTCATCTGTCGACCCGTGTCTTTTTACTTACAATTCCAGACAGCCTGTAATTATGGTGAACACGACTGGAAAACTTAGCATTTTTTATGCTTCCCCGGCAGTTTAATTTCGTCCTTTTTTGATTTAGTTTTGATTCTGTTTTGGTGTTTTTCTCGGCTGATACAGCCTCTGCCCAAGATGCCCAAAATTTAGATGACAATCCATGCTCGGAGGCAAGCAGTTGCGGCGACTGCATCTCATTGGATCCAAGGTGTGCCTGGTGTGAGGATCAGGTGTGTGACTGCCTATTTAGCGTGGTGTTAAGTTCATACCAAAATTGAACTTCATTTTGTGCACTCGGACGTTTATACAGCTGTACCACGTGGTGTTTATGCTGCCAGCTTTTGCAGCGTGGTTAGTCTTTTTTTTTTCCTGGTTTCTATTCTTAGTTTCTGTCGCACTACTTAGTAGATTTTCATGAAGGTTAACTGAATCCAACTGTATGGTGATTTGGTACAGTGGTGATTTTGTACACGAACGGGTAGGTGGCGCAAGCGATACAACAAGAGAACTGTCACGAGTGTTATCATGAAATTGCCGTATGCGCGCACTGGTTCACACGCGCGTGGCGCGAAGTGTGCAGGACTGTTTCGTATCTAAAAGTGGACGGGAAAGTCCCTACTCGTCATATAAATCAGCGACGACTGGGAATCTCTGTCTGAATTCATCGTGTGTAACTTGTTTTCTTTTTCAGGGCTATGCGGAGGAGACCAATTATCCGAGGTGCGATTTAATCACCAGCTTGACGAACAACAGTCTGTGCCAAGATATAGCATTCCCACAAACCGCTGTAGCGGTAGAACAGGTATATGTGTAACAGACTTTGGTCACACAACAAAAATCTATCCAGACATAAGACCATCGGGCAAGAATCTGTCTTTCTCCCGGTCAACCCTCTCTTCTACCGACACACATACGGTGCAAAACCCTGGTTTTAAATAAACATCGTGTGCTTAATATTGTACAATAAACATGCCAAATATGTTTCCATTTAGCACCACTTGTTTTGTTACTTAGTTTGCTTGTTTTATCGCCATTTTTTATTCAATCGCAGAGTTTAATTGCATGGCGACTTCGATTAAACTTTATCTTACGAAGCAATCATAGGTTTTCTTGTTCTACAATGTAGCCTTTATTTATCTCGTAGAACGATCCTTTGAGCGACGCTGGGGAAGGTCCGTCAACGGAGGCCGTGCAAGTAGCGCCCCAGAGGATAAAGTTGAAATTACGACCGAGTAAGTTGAGCCCTACCCCGACCGACAGACGCAAACTGACGCGACATAGACCTTCAGTCGGGGCCTAAATCTAATCCACCCAAGGAGGGAATACGAACCAATCAGAATCTTTATCGCAGTTCACGGGAGTAAAGGAGTACTAAAGCGAGGGAAAAAGGAGATGGCATACAACGCTGAGTTGTTTGTTTATCAGAGGGTATTTGAGAAATTCTCTACATGGTATGGCTTTGTGGTTCCCAGTTTAAATGTCCATAGTGTGCTTTTCGCATAGAACAAAATGCAAAAGAAGGAGAAGGGCATACAGAAATTTGGCCCATGATAAAAGACGGTTTCACCTGACGCGTTCCATCTGTACCTGATTCATGACGTGATATTTTCATTCGATGTTTTTCATTGGGTGGATCAGCTGTAAATCAATTAGTTGGTTTGAATTTTTTTCAAGTATCAGTGACGTTTATTTTGCGGTACTATTCCTGTGAGATCATGTCAGATTTACATTTATGTGAGGTCTGTATGGTTGAAATCTCAAGGTTGGAATGTTTAGTGTGAACTTTATTGAGTTACGTTGTGACACCGACACGCATGTTTCGACTGTTCGACTCCTCTA